AGACAAGGATGCCCACTATCTCCACTCCTATTCAACATAGTACTGGAATTCCTAGCCATGGCAATTAGGCAAGAAGAAGGAATGAAAGGAATACAAACAGGTAAAGAAACTGTCAAAATATCCCTATTTGCAGACAATATGATCCTATACCTTAAAGACCTAAAAACTCTACTTAAAAGCTCCTAGACACCATCAATAGTTATAGTAAGGTAGCAGGATATAAAATCAACATAGAAAAATCATTAGCATTTCCATACACTAATAATGAACAAACTGAGAAAGAATATATGAAAACAATTCCATTTACAATAGCCTCAAAAAAATCAAATACCTAGGTGTAAACTTAACAAAGATGTGAATGACTTCTACAAGGAAAACTATAAACTTCTGAAGAAAGAGATTGCGGAAGACTATAGAAAATGGAGAGATCTCCCATGCTTATGGATTGGTAGAATCAACATAGTAAAAGTCTATACTCCCAAAAGTAATCTACGTGTTTAATGCAATTCCCATCAAAATTCCAATGACATTCATTAAAGAGATTGAAAAATCTACCATTCAATTTATATGGAAACGCAAGAGGCCACAAATAGCCAAGGCAATACTCAGTCAAAAGAACAATGCTGGAGGTATCACAATATCCAACTTCAAACTATATTACAAAGCAATAACATTAAAAACAGCATGGTACTGGCACAAAAACAGACATGAAGACCAGTGGAACAGAATAGAGGACCCAGATATGAAGCCACACAACTATAACCAACTTGTCTGTGGCAAAGGCACTAAAAATATACAATAGAGAAATGATAGCCTCTTCAATAAAAACTGCTGGGAAAACTGGTTAGCAGTTTGCAAAAAACTGAAACCCTATGGCAATATTAACTCAAAATGGATTAAGGATCTTAATATCAGACCCCAAACTCTAAAGCTGGCACAGGAAAGAGCAGGAAATTCTCTGGAATTAATAGGTATAGGCAAGAACTTTCTCAATGGAACAACTCAACAACTAAGAGAAAGTATAGATAAATGGGACTTCATAAAACTAAAAAGCTTCTGCTCAACAAAAGAAATGGTCTCTAAACTGAAGAGAACACCCACAGAGTGGGAGAAAATATATGCCAGCTACACATCAGTCAAAGGAATGATAAGCAGACTATATAGGGAACTTAAAAAACTAAATTCTCCTAAAACTAATGCACCAATAAAGAAATGGGCAAGTGAACTAAACAGAACTTTCTCAAAAGAAGAAATTCAAATGGCCAAAAAACAAATGAAAAAATGCTCACCATCTCTACCAATAAAGGAAATGCAAATTAAAACCACATTAAGATTCCACCTCAGCCCTGTTAGAATAGCCATCATTAGCAACACCATGAACAACAAGTGTTGGCGAGGATGCGGGGAAAAAGGAACCCTCTTACACTGTTGGTGGGAATGTAAACTAGTACAACCACTCTGGAAAAAAATTTGGAAGCTACTTAAAAAGCTAGACATTGATCTACCATTTGATCCAGCAATACCACTCTTGGGGATATACCCAAAAGACTGTGACACAGGTTACTCCAGAGGCACCTGTACACCCATGTTTATTGCAGCACTATTCACAATAGCCAAGTTATGGAAACATCCAAGATGCCCCAGCACTGATGAATGGATTAAGAAAATGTGGTACCTATACACAATGGAATTTTATGCAGCCATGAAGAAGAATGAAATGTTATCATTCACTGGTAAATGGCTGGAATTGGAGAACATCATTCTGAGTGAGGTTAGCCTGGCCCAAAAGACCAAAAATCATATGTTCTCCCTCATATGTGGACATTAGATCAAGGGCAAACACAACAATGGGATTGGACTTTGAGCACATGATAAAAGTGAGAGCACACAAGGGAGGGGTGAGGATAGGTAAGACACCTAAAAAATTAGCTACCATTTGTTGCCTTCAACACAGAGAAACTAAAGCAGATACCTTAAAAGCAACTGAGGCCAATAGGAGAAGGGGACCAGGAAATAGAGAAAAGTGAGATTAAAAAGAATTAAGCTAGAAGGTAACACACACGCACAGGAAATTAATGTGATTCAATGCCCTGTATAGCTATCCTTATCTCAGCCAGTAAAAACCCTTGTTCCTTCCTATTATTGTTTATACTTTCTCTACAACAAAATTAGAAATAAGGGCAAAATAGTTTCTGCCCGGTAGTGAGGGGGTGGGGAGGAGAGGGAGGGGGTGGAGTGGGTGGTAAGGGAGTGTGTGGAGGCATAGGAGAGAAATGACCCAAGCCTTGTATGCACATATAAATAATAAAAAGGCATTCAAATAAGGAAGAAAGCAGTCAAATTATCCCTAAATGCAGATGATATGATTCTTAAAAGATCCCAAAACCTCTGCCAAAAAACTATTAGCTATCATAAACTCTTTCAACAAAATAGTAGGATACAAAATTAACATGCAGAAATCAGTAGCCTTCCTATATACTAACAATGAACAGACTGAGAAGGAAATCAAGGAAACCGTCAATTACAATAGTCTCAAAAACAATAAAGGGCCTTGGGATAAATTTAACAAAGAAAACTAAGACCTTTTCAATGAAGCTATAAATCATTGAAAAGAGAAATTGAAAAAGACATCAGAAAATGAAAAGATCTCTTATGCTCATGGATTGGTAGAATCAACATTGTGAAAATGGCCATGCTACCAAAAGTGTTCTACATGTTCAATGCAGTCCCTACCAAAATTCCAATGACATTCTTCACAGAAATAGAAAAATTAATCCATAAGGAAACACAAAAGACCTCAAGTAGCCAAAGCAATTCTAAGCAAAAAGTCCAATGCTGGAGGTATCGCAATATCCAACATCAAACTATACTACAGAGCCAAAACAATAAAAACAACATGGTATTAGCATAAAAACAGACAGGAAGACAAATGGATTACAATAGAGATGCAGATATAAAACCATATATCTATAACCAACTGATCTTCAACAAAGGAGCCCAAAACACATGATGGAGAAAACACAGCCTCTTCAACAAATGTTGTTGGGAAAACTGGATATTTACATGTAGAAGCATGAAACTAGACCCTTGTTCTTCACCCTGTACCAAAAATCAACACGAAGTGCATCTAAGAGCCACAGCCTGAAACTTTGAAACAATTCCAGGAAATAGTAAGAAATACACTAGAACAGATAGGTATAGGGAGCGACTTCCTAAACAGAGCACTAAAGCCTCAGCATCTAAGAGAAACAATGAACAAATGGTATTGCAGCAAACTAAACAGCTTCTGCACAGCAAAGGAAACAGTCATTAGACTCAAGAGACAGCCCACAGAATGAGAGAAAATCTTTGCAAGCTACTCATCCAATAAGGGACTAATATCCACAATCTATAGGGAACTCAAAAAACTCAACCGCCAAAGAATCAACATCCCAGTGAAGAAATGGGCACATGAATTAACCAGAATTGTCAAAGGAAGAGGTACAAATGGCCAGTAAATACATAAAGAAGTGTTCAACTTCCCTGGCTAAAAAAGGGAGACAGAGAAAAACTGCATTCAGCATTCATCTCATTCCTATTAGAATGACCATATTCAAGGGCAATAGCAATAACAAATGCTGGTGAGGATGCAGCAAAACAGGAATCCTCATACATTGTTGGTGGCAAAGCAAATTAGTACAACTACTATGAAAAGCAGGATGGAGATTCCTCAAAAAGCTAAAAATAGAACTGCCATATGATTCAGTGATACTGCTCATGGTTATCTACCCAAAAGAACATAAGTCAGGATATAATAGAGACACTTGTACACCAAGTTCACTGCAGCACTATTCATAATAGCCAAGCTCTGGAAACAGCCCAGAGGCCCTACAACTGATGAATGGATTAAGAAAATGTATATATATACACAATGGAGTCTTACACAACCATAAGGATCAATGGCATGTAGTTTGAAGGTAAGTGGATAAAATTGAAAGACAACATGTTAAGTAAAGTAAGCCAGGCTCAGAAAGACAGAGTTGCATGTTTTCTCTCATAGGTGAAACACAGGTCCAACAGATAAACATATACATAACATCTGTAAAGGTAGAGGAGGGCTGGTGGGCTGGCTCAAGTGGTAGTGCACCTGCCTAGCAAGGGTGAGGCCCTGAGTTCAAGCCCAAAGACTACAAAAAATTGACTTTAAAAAAATATCTAAAATTAGAGGATATAAGGATGTGTACTGAAAGCTATTGAAAAGTGGGAGGTGGGAGGTAAATGGGTTAGGGAAAGTAATGGAAGTGGTTAAATGGATCAAAATAAAGTATAAACATATTACTTAAATAAAGTGTATAAAGTTACTGAACATCAACTAAAATATTAACAATGAAAGACAGGACTTAAAAATAAGTACAGAATGGGTCTGGAGAGGTACTGGTGGAGGAGGAGAGTGAATGAAGATTAGGATGAAGGTATGGTTGATGGACTTCCTATATGTATATGAAATAAAGCAAGAAAACCTCTTGCAAATGCTTTAAGTCATTCAGGGAAGTGATTGAAGGGGAGAGAAGAGGGAGGTGATCTAACCAATGTACAATATAAGTCTACTCAGATTGTCAGAATGCCCCCTGTATAATGAATATATCCATTAAAATTATAATTAAAACAGGCAATAATTTCCCTTTAAATTCTCTGAATTAATAATACTCCTTTTATTAGAGATAAAGTAAATCAAACTTTGTCTCAGATCTCTCTCTGTTCAGCATTTATTTGTTAAGCCATTTTTAATACTAAAACATTGCAAAGCAAGCATATTTATTGTTTTATATGTGCCTTCAGTGAGGTGAAAGGATGAGCTGAAAAGTGTAACTCTAAATATGTGATTGAAATTTATTCAAGCAGTCATTTCTCTAACCAGAAATTACAAAAATGTTAACATTATGTATAGCACTGCATTGTATTGACTTTGTATTAGCCTGTTCATTGATTTGGTCTCTTGATAAATCAAATGATGTTTTCAGATTCTACAGGAGAATGAGGACCTCCCCCAACTGTTGACAATGGAGACATTACTTCATTACCATTGCCAGAATGTGCACAAAGCTCTTTGGTTCAATATCAGTGCCAGTCCTTGTATCAACCTCAGAGAAACAACATGGGGTTTGAGCAATACACATTCTGAAAAAAAAAGGGAAAAGAAAACAAATGAAAGTCTTGGAAATGAAAACTTCAGTAAATCAAATAAAAACATCAGCGGAAATCATTAACAATAGACTTTAGATCAAGCAGAAGGAAGAACACAAGGTATTGAAGGATGATGATTACATTAAAATAACAGCAAAAAATAATATATTATTGCCACAACATCTAAATCCTCTGGAACAAAATTTAGAGCCCAGACTTAAAAATTTTTTGTATAAAAAGGAATAAAAAATACAGTCATTTAGGTAAAGGAGGCATTTCAACCCCAAATAGACATGACAAAAAAAGAACTTCTAACAATATTTAATACTATATCATAGTTAAAATGCCAAGAGTACAGAAAAATGCAAGAATTTTGAAAGCTCAAAGAGAGAAGTACCAACGATGTATGTACAAAGACAAACTCATCAGTAAAACAGCAGACTTCTCAGCAGAAACCCTAAAGAGAAGGAGAGCTTGGAATGATATATTTCAAGCCCTGAAAGAAAATAAATGGCTACCAAGACTACTATATCCAGAAAAGGTCACCTTTAAAACCAAAAAAGAAATGAAGACCTTCCAAGATAAGCATAAACTAAAGCAATTTATGACAACTAAACCAGCATAATGGAAGATAGTTAAATGAATCATATGCAAAAAGCACAAGAAAAGTATGCACAATCACAAGTACTTAGGAAAGAATAAATCTTTGTAGAAAAGCATAAACAAATGAGAACTAAGAAGGTATCAACATTTCTTCACTAAACTAACAAACCTCTGAGATAAATAGGGAGGAAAAAAGAATGCAGAATATTTAAAACTATCAGAAAATTAAACAGGAATTTGTACATGACTTTCCATGGTGATCCAAATGTAAAGAGTTTAAAAATTCATTTAAAAGATGTAGATAAGCTGGTTAGATTAAAAACCAAGATCCGACTGATTTTTGTCTGTAAGAAACTCACCTCAGATAGTAGTAGCCCTGGCATTCTCAATCAGGAAGGCTTTTTCTTGTGGGAATTTTTTTCCTTTGGAATTTGCTAAAACAAAGGAATGTTCAATTTAAAAGTTTCCCTTGGAAAAAAGACTGAGAAGATGGTGAGTAGGGCACAGAAGCAGAGAGTGTGAGCTCTGAGACTCCAAAACCTCACTGAGACACTGGAGCCACACTTGGCAGAAATAAAGCAGCAAATAGAATCAAAACTTTGACATCCTGAACCCCTAGCCTGTGGAAAGCTTCTTCATGCCACGTTACACTGAAAAAACAGGAGGGCTGCTGCACTTCCAGATGCTGCTCCAAACCTGCTTGGGAGACATTCAACAGATCAACAGGTGAGCACCAACCATCATGCGGTGTCCCCCCAGCCACCACTAGGATAACTTAGCATAGCCCCCTGGGCAGACTGACACCCCTGCAATAAAAAAAAAATTGAACAATAAACAAGAAACTGAAAACTAACACACAGCAGAGGGACAGAGTTACCAAAAGTGCACTAGGGAAGGGGGGATGAGCAAGGAGCTGATATCTGTGAGAACTTTGAGTAAACAAAAACTGGAAAGGCAGAAGAGCCAACAGCAGGCAGGTGATAAGCCACTGCCTGAAATATGGCAGGAAGTGCTCCACAAAGCTCATCTTCTGAGCCAGTGAGCAACATCTAAAGTCAAACAACACTGCAAAATTGAAAAATAATCAGCAAACCATCACAACACACTGAAAGCAGGGGGCCAGTTGATGTATCACTGACCTTGTCCCAGAGAAAGGGGGTGAGGCAAAGAAACAAGCCCCCAGTAAACAAGCACAGTGAAAACCCAACTCCAAAGTAGGACAGATGGTGAGCTACAGAGCTGATTCCAGAATCTGAGGGCAACATAAAAACCTTAACTGTCACACCCCACTGAGGGAGGAGCTGATCAAGCAGCTGCCTTTGAAAGACAGAAGAAAAAAAACCAAACACTACCCATCTACCTGGCAAGACTATAACAGAGCTTCTGCTTAAATACCAACACCAGGATCAGATGCTAGAAGAGTAATACCAGAACTTAAACCAAGACTGAAATTCTATTGATCCTGAGCCTAGAATTTTTTGTTTGTTTGTTTGTTCTGTTTATTATTTGTTTGTGTTTGCTTGTTCATCTGTCCACATTGATTTCTTTGGATTTGTTGTTGTTAGTTTTACTATTGTGAATTAGCAAATAGTAAATTACACCCAGACCAGTGACAGAAATAACACACACACACTTAGCTACAAACCCAATACAGGAAAAAAACAAAATGAAACCCAGGAAAAGAAAACAGGTGACTGAAACCACCAACTAGCCTATCAAGAACATAGTTGCAGAGAACCAAGTGGACTGACAGGAAGATGAAAAAGAGATGGAAACCATTCTCCCCCTAAAAATAATTTAATACAAGATTAAGAGGGAAATGAAGAAAATGGATACAGAGTTCCGGACTCTAACAAAACAAAGATAAATGATGCCAAGGAACCAAAGGATGCCCAAAAAAACAATCACAAAGAAGAAATCATGCAAGTAATCACTGAGAATTTCATGGAGATATTACTAGACATGGTCACCCAAAACATAAGAGACACTCAAGAAATTTCAAGACACCAAAAATAAAGAATACAAGAAGACACAGAAACAAATAAATGAACTCATAGGAGCCCTAAATAAATACCAAAGTGAAACAGAGAATACTATAAATAGAGAGATAAATGAATTAAAGATGAAAATAGACAATATTAAAGAGGAAGTGACCCATTATATGGAAAACCAAAGAAAAAAAGAATGAAACAAATATAAAACACAATGGAAGGTCACTCCAGCAGACTAGAACAAGTGGAAGACAGAATCTCAGAACTTGAAGATAAAATGGAAATTAAAGGAAAAACTGAAGAGCTATTAGTCAAACAACTCAAGACCTCAAAAAGGAATATGCAAGAACTCACCAATTCCAACAAAATACCAAACCTGAGAATTATGGGCATTGAAGAAGGAGAAGAGGTCCAAGCAAAAGGGATTTGCAATATATTCAACAAATAATAACAGAAAATTTCCCAAACCTAGAGAAAGCTATGCCCATTCAGGTACAGGAAGCCTCCAGGACACCAAACAGACTTGACCAAAATAGAACTACCACATGACATATTATCATTAAAACAACAAGCACAGAGAATAGAGAAAAAATATTGAAGGCTGTAAGAGGAAAAACAAATAACATACAAAGGTAAACCCATCAAAATCACAGCAGATTTCTCAACAGAAACCTTAAAAGCAAGAAGAGAATGGAGTGAGGTCTCTGGGCACTGAATGAAAATAACTTCAACCCTAGGATACTCTACCCAGCAAAACTATCATTCAAAACAGGAAGAGAAATAAAAGTCTTCCATGATAAACAGAAACTAAAACAATATATAACTACCAAGCCAATTCTACAAAAGATTCTTCAAGGAATTCTGCACACAGAAAATGAAAGCAAACAAAATCATGAGAGCACAGGCAACACCAAACCACAGGAGAAGAAAAGACAAGGAATCAGAGAGTAACATTGATTCAGCTGCACACAATCAAACCCTTAAACAACAAAAACAACTAAATGACAGGAATCACCACATACCTATCAGTACTAACACTGAATGTTAATAGACTTAACTCCTCCATCAAAAGAATCTGGCAAACTGCATTGAAAAGGAAGATCAATTTGTTGTTTACAGGAGACCCATCTCATTGACAGAAACAAGCACTGGCTTAGGGTGAAAGGCTGGAAGAACATTTACCAAGTCAATGGATCCCCAAAACAGGCAGTAATAGCAATACTTATCTCAGACAAAGTAGACTTCAAACTTACATTGATGAAACAAGATAAAGAAGGACACTCCATACCAATAAAAGGAGAAATACACCAAAAGGAAATAATTATCAACCTACATGCACACTACGTCAGTACACCCAATTTCATCATACTCTGAAGGAATTAAAAGCACATATAGACTCCAACACAGTGGTAGTGGGAGATTTTAATAACCCCCTCTCATCAATAGATAGGTCATCCAAACAAAAAAATCAATAAAGAAATTCTAGAACTAAATCATTCCATAGATCAAATGGACCTAGATGATGTCTACAGAATATTTCATCAGACAAAGGACTGATAACCAGAATATACAGAGAACTCAAAAAACTAAACTCTCCCAAAATCAATGAACCAGTAAAGAAATGGGCAATGGAACTAAACAGAACTTTTTCTTTTTATTTTATTTTATTTATTTTATTTCTTTATTTCTTTTATTCATATGTGCATAAAATGTTTGGGTCATTTCTCTCCCCTTTCCCCTGCCCCTCCCTTTCCCTCCACCCCTTCCCTCTCCCCACCTACCCCCTCGCTACCAGGCAAAAACTATTTTGCCCTTATCTCTAACTTTCAGAGTACAAGCAATAGTAGGAAGGACCAAAGGTTTTTGCTAGTAAACAGAACTTTTTCAAAAGAAGAGATTCAATGGCCAAGAAACACATGAAAAAAGGTTCACCATCTCTGACCATAAAGGAAATGCAAATCAAAACCACACTAAGATTCTACCTCATCCCTGTTAGAATAGCTATCATCAAAAACGCCACCAACAACAGGTGTTGGTGAGTCTATGGGGAAAAAGGAACCCCTGTACACTGCTGGTGGGGACACAAGCAAGTGCAACCACTCTGGAAAACAATATGGAGGCTTCTTAAAAAACTAAACATAGATCTGCAATATTGTTGCAGGAATTTTCTAGCTGAGATATGGGACGCTTGAGGCAATTAGCAGGAAGCAATGTTTTATTGTGCAAGCACAGACTCAGCAGACTCATGGCCAAGAACAAAGGGGTCTCACCTTATATACCCTTGCAAGAAGGTTACAGAAGCAAAAAGCAAGGTCTAATCCCTATATGGTTATATTTAATTTAATGGCTACTTTATCCTAGTGCTACATGACTTTCCCCTCCCTGGTGCTACATGACTTTCCTC